GAGCTGGCCTTGCTTTTGGAAGCCTTAGTGTTGTTCCACTGAGTCAGGAATTTAAAAGTTGAAATTTCTGTGAGAGTGTTTAGGCCCCCGCAAGATCAGAGAAGGAGTTGATGTCTGAGTTTGAATATTTCTAGTCACAGCCTTTCTATCCTCTCTCAGTCTGTTCCCTCCCCATTCTACCTGTTGCCTTTGAGATGCTCATCTTTTTTGCATGCTTTATTTTAACTTTATATGAACAGGGCCATGAAAATGAAGCTGTCTCATGGTGACAGCAGCAAACAGCTGCTAAACACAGTTCAGTCCTGGCATCTTTTCATAACTTGTACACAGAGGCTCTTCCAACTTTCCCAGTGTTGGTGTCTTTGCACTGAGCTTTGTCATGGAAGAACTGTCAGTGCACACCAGAGCTCTTTTCAAAAGGTAGATCTGGTGTTGTGTAGACCAAAGTGTTGATGCCCCCCTGGAGAAAGAACAAAACAGTTCTTGCTAAGTGGGAACTAAAGAACAGCCCCTGAAGGGAGCACCTGTGAGACTGGAGGCTGCAGCTTGGACTGGTTTGCTTCCCTGTGGGTGTTTGGGTGAGCCATCACTTCCAGGGTCCAGCAGAAAAACCTGTTCTATGGAGAATGGTCACTGGCAAAAATGCCTTAAATTCCTTCCACTTCTCAGGAAGGAATGACTGAGTGTAGACAAGAATCAGCATTCTTGCTCTAGAAGTTTAAGATACTGTAGTTGAGAGCACTCAAGTGGACTTGTCAAGAGATTTTCAATCACTTTCTCTCTCACTGACAGGCAGGAGAGGAGCTGTTCCCTGTAGATGACAAAGGCATGGCTATCCCCAGCAACACAGATATCCTGCAGACATGGGAGGTGAGTTCATCCCGAGTGGAAGAGTCACATCATCTTCCTCAGTGGTGTTGGCTTCAGCAGCTGCAGGATGTGCAGCCATGGATGCAGAATTAGTTGGAAAGATCTCACGGAAGCACACGGTTTTAAAAATGTGCTTTTAAAGATGTGATTCCCATGAAGACAAACAGAGCATGTCAGGAAAAAATGTGTTCAGTCATGTCTTACCCACTGCCTGCTGAGTGTGCTCCCCTTTCTGCCAGGCCATGGAGGAGCTGGTGGATGCTGGCTTGGTAAAAGCCATTGGAATATCCAACTTCAACAGTGAGCAGATTGAAAGAATCTTGAACAAGCCAGGACTGAAGCACAAGCCTGCAAATAATCAGGTGAGCTGCAAAGTGACTGCAGGGGAATACTTCTCAAGGATTATAAAGTTATGATTACAGTTAAATGAGGAAGTGGAAAAAGGGAGAACAAAGTAGACAAAACATGTACTTTAAATCCCTCTCTCTGGACATTTCTTCATACAAACAGAACCAGAATATTTCCTTTTTGTCTCATCTTGTTGAAACTTTGGAGTGTTTTCCTAGGAACCATTCTCTCTCGAGGCATGAAGAATCCACATATGAGGGATCATTCTGACATAATGATTGACTTTTATAAAGCCTCTCAGAAAAAAATCCAAAAAGCACATAAAAAGTCAGTCTAAAAGTTGGTGCCCT